TAAACGATTTTTTTCCAGATTACTTTTTTCGTCACGCTATAAGCTAAGCATCTTGCTGTCTAGTCATCTTCCTCACCTGTCCTCCATCCTTTCCTCTCGATTTTTCTAGCCTTTCTAAGTTTATTTCATACACAAAGTATGGCTTTTCCTTCGCACCTTTAATTTCATTTGGATTCTAACTTCAACATCAATTTAAAAGATAACTGAAGGGCAACCTGCGGTGAGTCCGCGACTTCAGCAATCACCGAAAGCAGTGCATCCGACGCGGCTCGCATTGTTGATTCCGTAATTCCACCTATAAAAAGCAAGCTTTGCGGTCAGACAAGTGGAACGAAGAGCAAACGTACAAGCAGCTCATTTACATTTATAAGTCAAAATATTGACCAACCAGCCGATATGACAAATCCACTAAGAGCGGGCAGCTGGTAATGGGAACTTCGAAGCAGTAAAGCCAGCCGCTGGAAACAAGAGGACTGCCGCCAATATACGCTTGAGCCATTATCCAAGTACGTTTCTCGCAAAACTTCTTCATCCGGGACTCCTTTCAGACCCAAAAGCAGCAAATCTTTCATCACCAACGCAGCACACTAAAATCAACGCATCTTGTTTACACAGGAGAATACGATCATTTAGTTTTATTGACAGCTGCAAAAATACCCCAGGAGGGAAAATTACAAGACTGGATAAAATATGCGCAGAAAGTGGAACCGGAGATAAGCAACAGTCTTCGTTTTCCCGGTATGTTGAATCGACAGAGATACTGAAGAAAAAGAACAAGATCCATAGTGCTGATAACTACTAAAAGGACACAGAAAGGGAGGAATCCGCTCGAACAGCTATATGAAATAACGTGCGTGAGAGAGGCACAAAACAGAAAGAAATGGAGAAGTTGCCAGCTGAAGAAACGTGGCGATAAGTGATAGCTAATCAAAATGTCAAAGAAGAGCACCTCGCGTGTTGCATCGATTTTTTCGGCCGACTGCTGGACTATTTTATCAATTGCCAGCCAACTGCGCTGATCATTGCGTCCATAGTAGCATCGTAGTAAAGGTATCACTATGCCAAGTGTGCGCATTGTTTCTTCACGCAGAACTCTTCCCACATCGCCTCTCCTATCCACTGTATAGTCGTCCAAACAAATCAAAAGACTAAAAATGACGCCAAATTATCAAAAAAAAAAAGAAAAAAATGCTACACAGAGTATGACTAAAGTTGTCCCCAGTGTAATATAACATAACAAAAGACTTCCGGCCAAAACAAGAAGACTGCAGAATACAAATAAATCAGTGTTTAACTACAATTTTCTACGATTTGAATGCGTTTTTTATATCTATGCAGTGCAGGAAACGAATATTGATGAGACTTTGCCTGTGTGTTCGTCCGTACCGATTTTTATGCGTTTTTGCCGTGCAGCGCTAGAGCGCTGCAACAGGCAGCAAAAACGC